ATATTTAAAAAAATTACTTAAAATTGTGTCCTGCATCATTAATGCTAATTAACGATGTATTTTGGCTGTAAGCCACAGTTCCTCTGTTGTAACCAAAGTTATTCTGTCTGTGCAAATTTGTTTTAATTCTTTTTTTACAGTTATAAATGCAAAAACTGAAAAGAAAAATCATTTTTTATTATAATAGTTTATCGACATGTATTACTTTTTACAAGTGTTTGAAAAAGGAATAAAAAAATTGAGTTTGTTTAGCAAGAAAACACAGATTACTGATTGAAATCATCTAACAGTTTTTCCCTTATCAGAACAATCATATAAATTCGGTTTGTTATCTGTGAATTTGATAATCTGCTCAAATCGAACAAAAAAAAAGAGAAGCTGCAGTTACACAGTCTTTAAAAGTTTCAGTGACTTTTGCTTCGCTTTAAAAATCTGAAGTTTTTTATGTCAATTAACTTTTTTTACCCTATCCTAAAATTTTATTAAACGCTGGCGAATATTTTCCTGATGATTTGCTGCTGTTAAAATAATCTGTAAAAGTATGTCAAAAATCATTAAAAGAAAAGATTTTGAACATTTACTGCTAAATTCTGTTGTGCTTTTAGAACTGGAAGTACACCGATAATTGAGATGATTATCACAAAGCGAACTACTGAGCAACCAATCTCTGCAAAAGACAGTCACATTATATTACAGCCTAATTTTACAAATAGTACTTTTCTAAAGTTTAAATTCTAGATAAGAAACCTCTAAATAATGCATTTATTAGAAAAGCAGAACAGTAACTGTATAGGGAGATAAAATTTGTTTATTTATTACAGAATCTTCAGAAGCAGACCTGTGACCTGTTTAGGTAGGCAAAAGTGATAATAATCCAACAGTGTGAATAGCGGCGCCAATAATAACAAAAATATTTTCATTCATTATTTACAGACTGTGAAAATCCTGAAAGCAAGAAAAAAGGCGGTGTTTTTTACATTTCTAATGTAGCAGTTCGTGAATAAATTAGGTAAGATCTTGCAGAAAAACTACTTTCCTGGTAAAACCATTCAAACAGCTGTATTCTTTAATTCTGAATCGGACAGAAAAAAAAAAAAAGAATTTAATAAATTACTGTTCAGCTGCTTAAAACTCTATTTGGATACTTTGTCCTCCTCGCAGATGCTCTACCTACAAAGTTGGAGGATTTGTAAACTACCATTCCGTAGCGACTGGAAAAAGAAAAAGTGAAAAAACTCACTTTGTTTTTTTTTTTTAACCAAACAAAGGAATTCAAATTTGCAATAAAATCTTCGCAGGCACAGTTCAACAGCTAAATTTAGCAGAGATATCTTAAAAATTACTTTGTAATCGTTGTCGATAACAGTCCTAGTAAAATTTAGGGAAAAAAATTACGTTTAGTGAAAAGGGAGGGCGCAGAAAAAGGGAGGCAAAGAAAGTTGCTATACTGTTTGGCCTTATCTTCACCAGACTCACAGTCTGTAAATTTCAGCTGGAAAAAAAAAAAAAAACTAGATCATCCGCACGGTTATTCGTACCATAGACCAAATATATCACTCCCAGCAGATTGTTAAGATCAGAATATTGTTCCTTCAAAGTGTTCGGAAGCGAACTGTGTCCAGTATAGAAATCCGCTCAACAGGCAAATGTCACCGTCCCGGCTTATCTGAATGTCGTTTTACGTTACATTTTTAAGATAAGTAAACGAGAAATAAGGTTTTTGTACCGTAAGTTACAAAAACATTTATAAGTGGTTTCATTCTTTATCGTCAATTAATATTTTACAAAGATTTTGTTGAGAACTTCTTGATACACGTATTATTGCTTAGTGTTGGATGCTTTTTCATCTTTTTAAACGATTGTAGAGTTATACTCTTTCTCAACACTTGAAGTACCGTCAACTCAAGCAGTAAATGAATATGTAATTTAATGTGCATCTTTTGTCTTTCATTTGTCTCATCCAGTTATTTTAAAAAGTTGGCAGTGTGAAAATTGGTATTCGCTTGCAAAAAAAGAAAAAAAAAAAAAAAAAAAAAAAAAAAAAAA